TCCTCTGCCAGTACCTGCGAGCATTCATTCATCCATTACAGTTAACACAGTTGCATTGACAATTTGAGGGTATTCATGAAAAGTTAAATATCTGCCGACTCCAAGCGAAGCAGAAAAATCAATTAATAGACATTAGTTGCATTGACAATTTATGGGTATTCATGAAAAAGGTAAATATCACCTGACTCCATACGACGCAGAAAAATCAATTATTAGACGTTAGTTGCATTGACAAGTTATAGTTATAACAGCCACATAGTTTGAACGACAGGATGAAGCATGGGTAGTAACATAATAAAGAGATCCTACGAGTCGCATAGGACCTAGAATTCGATTATTGAATGAAGAATGGTGCCGGTAAGGCTACCAACTTTTCGCTGGTCCATAATAAGAGCATTTTCATTTTCTACGGCAATCCAAAATAGCAGGTTAAAGTGAATGAAGATTCAAACTTCTTGGGATGCAGTTGTACTCCCAAATAAGCCTACAAACCCAACTTTCTAGTATCTAATGATGAATAGCACAACCGCTGAACACATGAAATTAGATGGCTTTCTTGTGATAGCAGCATACTTACAATACTGCATTGTCCAATGCCTTCTTCATAACGCTTGAGCTTTATAAAAGACGCTGCCATGTTAAGGTGGCATGGATTTTTAACGGCCAATGCCATGTCCCTGTACTTCCCAAACAACTAGAACATGAAGTCGTCACCCATATATGCTATAGCCTGAGAAAACCCACCAGAATCATGCCAGAAAGGAAATATAAAAATGCTCATCTGCCACAAATAAAATATGCAAGAATTACAAGTGCGTAACCATTTCATACTGTTGCATTGCCTCCTCTAGTTTTTCCTCTTTAAATAAAGCATTTCCATCCATCTTTCTTCTATCGGGTGCTCCAATCCTTTCCTCCACAGTCATGTCACTACGAGCTTTCCCCTATGAAAGGCTGAACCCACAAATATACATGTTACTATATTACTGAAGCAAATCCCTGGAAAAGACATTTTGAAACTTCCATTGGTAACTACTTGGGAAGACATTTGAGAGCAAGCAACTTACTTCTTTGGTTTCATCAAATCCAATAAGCTCAACTTCATATGATATATCTGCCACTGGTGGGACATTCGGAAAAGAAAAGCCCCCTTCTTTCCCATACCCTAACTCCCAGCCTACATGTAATAGTGCACGCTCTCCAGACTTCATGCTGGACACCCCAATTGCCAAGCCAGTCATTTCTTTTTTCTGTGTTGCAGTAACAAAAATATACTAATAATAAGAAGTCCATTGCATTTAATACCACTAGATAATGCTTAAATGCTTATGGACCCAAATCATCTGAAATGACGAGTACTTACAGAGAATAAAAGCAATAAAGAAATAACAAAACTAATTGCAGACTGAACAAGGAACGTGCCAGAACTCGTTTGCATATATTTTGTATTATCAAAAGTACCAGACTACTCGGCAAGGCTAATACCTTTTCCTAAAATCATTTCAAGTGGTCGTTGTTCATCCCAGGTGTATTCAAACTTGTGTCCCGTGCTTTCAGTCCATGCCCTGTAGTGCACTATCACACATATGCCAATCACTCAGTGATTGAAAAAAATCAGAGTAAAATTTCACTGCAAGACCTTTCTACATGTATCTTAGGCATCCCTTTTATAAAATTTAATGCATGCACAAATAATTCTCCTATACGCATATGCCAATCACTCAGTGATTGAAAAAACCAGAGTAAAAATTCACTTCAAGACCTTTCTACATGTATCTTAGGCATCCCTTTCATAAAATTTAATGCATGCAATTAATTCTCTTATACGAATAGTACATCCACAACTCTCTGAACGTTGAAGTTGTGTGTGTCTGTTTGCAAGTCACAAGCTCATTCATGTCTTATACACTAACAACTACATGCACACATAACATTATTGGGTTTTCAACTAATGCACACAGTACAGCACTACCAAAAAGGAAACCACGTGACACTTACAGAAGCATGTTGAATACTTGGATGGTATTGACCATAACCTTCCTTAATGATTTGCTGTGTGACTTTCTCATGAAGGATTTCCGCCTTGGAATCAACTTTTGGGGGGCCATTAGCATCTTGAGAAGGTTCTCCACGAACGAAGGTAGCATCTTCAGTTACTGTTTCATTTTCACCATCTTGACCTACAAACAAGATGAAAAATGAGTAGTAGTCTATATTATGACGGTCCTTTTCGAGGCTCACATGGATTCCCTATATGAATTATAGTGCCCCCATAAGGAAATCTAATTCACTCATACACAGAGGGGAACGACAATCTTCTTCTTTCCCCTGCACATTATACAGCGACTAGATAGCTGACATCCCCACTTGTACTACATGAGTTTTGGAACACAGGATTTCTGAGTTACTCAACATAAAAGCATGGAAGAACGATGAATCGGTGTACTGGAAGCGGTATTCATAATGTCCACCTATTGCGTTCCTTCTTGATGTACAAATTATTTCCAAAATCTTATCAAGTAATAAATAAACACAATAAGTTTCCGCCTCGATAATGCACCTATAGAAAAATTGTTCTGAAGAAAACATCATTTATTCATTCAGCCCAACTCAATCACTCGAAAACCCGCTTATCAGGTTAATTTGACATATATTTGAAGCTAAAAACCTACTAAGAGTCTAAGATTTGACATATTTGCTTTTACAGTAACCAAGTGTAGCTGGAAGATTTGATTGAGTGTAAAAAGTATGAATTAATACTTGAACTGGAAATTAAGGCCAAAAGTATGACTAAACATACCAAGTAGTTGACTTTCCTGCTCAGCCTGCTCCCGAACATCCTCCATTACTTCAAGCTTCTATAATCCAATGGGTCTTGGCAAAATTCTGCAAATACCCAAATCAAAGACGCAAAATTTAATGCAATTGCATTCGAATTCCAAACCAAAAATTAGGAAGGGTTTCTTTTTCTTTGGAATTTTCTCGGGAAACAAACAGAAAACGGAAAATAGAAATGGAAAAAGCGGGACTTACTTGTGTGATGAGATACAGATGAGGAGAGAGTAAGAGGATCTGTATTGTGTTTGGTTTTCAACTATCGAAGAAGATTCTAGAGAAAACAAAGTAATTAATTAATTAAAATAGTGCTATATACACGTTCATTTTTACTTTTTACACCATATTCTTAATTTTTGATCGTCGAATTAAATAAATTAAAGAGTATCACTAGCAAAAAATTAACAAGAGTATGTGAAAGGTAAAAATAGTCTTTTGCCCGCTACTTAGTATTACAATCTAGTAGTATTCTCCTTTACTTGTAAGTGAGAGATTTTAGATTCAATTCTCGCCAAAGGTGAATTTGAACCACGTTATTACTGGTCAATCATGAGGCTAAACCCACCCCGTGTAGATAATATCATTTGTTAAAAATAAAATAAAAACATTTGCCCACCCACCCTTCTTTATTTGATACATTGGGACATATTCATGAGACTGTCTACTTATTTGATACATTTGGACATGAACAAAGGCGGCATATGCTGACTGGGGACAGTTGCCGCTACTCAACTCTTTTTATCATGAAAAATACTCTAACTAAAACTATAAATTATCTGTCACTCAATACTATGGTTTGGTAATATTCCTCTTCACTTGGAAGTGAGAGGTCTTAGGTTCGAATTTCGTGGATGACGAATTTGATATCAAATTAGGTTGCCCATTGTGTGACTAAGCCGAACTCCCCCTCCCCCTTAGTGTTAAAATATCGATGTACTAAAAAAAATATAAATTATCTATATACTCAAAAATGACGCCTTAGCCAAAACACTCAACTCCAAAATACACTTTCACATTCTATACTTTTCTTACCCTCCTCTCATAGAGCTGGAAATTTTTCTCGAAAATCCCAAACTAAACCAAAAAAATTCCGATACCCCATACCGAAAAATTCTCAAACCATTAATATCGAACTTTTCGAAATCGATTCGAACCGAACCAAAAAAATATATTTATTTATATTGGTTGCATGATTGTTGATTGTTGAATGTTGAATTTAAGTAGTTTGATAGTAGACTATATTAGAAATAGAAGTATGAAATTAAGTAGTTTGGAATTTTGGAACACATTTGACTTGTTATGAATGAATTGGTATGCAAATTCAAATTAATATGATGTAAAAAATCTAAATTTCAATTGATATGAAATTAGGAACAAAATTTTAGGCCAAAAGCCCAAATTCAAAAAATCTCAAATTTCAACCCAAAAAGCCCAAAACCCAAAATCCAATTCCTATCCATCCTGAAATCCGAAAACATTTCGAAAATCCCGAGAATTTAGGGTTCGAGGGATTGGGTGAATCGTGTACTGGGTATTGGGTGGTGAAGGAGGATGAGACCTCCTGCGATTTGTGTTGCTTGATAATGATATATACGGACCAAATGTTCCTTTAAAAAATTAAAAAAACTAAAAAAATAATAATTATTAAAAAAAAAAAAGACTTGGCCAAAACGACATCGTTTTGGGCCAAGTCATTAAAAATATTAAAGACTTGGCCAAAACGGCGTCGTTTTGGGCCATGTCTTTATAAGAAAAAAAAAACCGACCCTTCTTCTTCGCACAATTTTCTTCTTCATGAAGACGCTGCTGCAACCCAGAACCAGAACCAGAACCAGGTTTCCAGAAAACTTCAAATTTCAAGCAAGATTTGGGTCGCTGAAGGGTACTGGGAACACCCAGTCAAACACCTCAAGCGTGCCTCGGCCGCCTAGGCGTGCCGCAACGAAGCCTAGGCGAGTTTCCGCCCACTCCCAGAAAACAGAGGCGAAATTGCTACCGCCCCGCCTCCAAGGCCGCCTAGGCGCACCTCGAGGCAAGTTTTTTAAAACACTAATGAAAATCAGTGCTTATGAAATGAAATTTACCTATTTTACATCTTTATACTTTACATGAAAATTATCTCTCGCACATTTTCTTTTTCACGAGTGAACGATTGTGAAGAAAAAATGTGCAAGTGAGCAAAACTCTTACTTTACAATATCAAACATGTAAAGTGAGGGAGAGCCTAAAAAGATATAAAAAATGAACCTCCCTATCAACAATTGATGACTAAATGAATGCAGTCAGTCAGTGGGTATATGAAGAGAAAACATGGCTGGCTGAATCGGGAACAACACAAACTTGTTGCAGATACAACTGCCGCTCGCTCCAGTGCTGTTAACACTCAATTTCTTACGTGCTACAAGGGCTATCGAACTTTCTCTACACGGATCAACAACCTGCAGCCTTTAAAAAGTTATCGTAGGGGCTTGATGCCGGTAGCTGGAAGTGCGGATAGGGCTGATACTCAGTTGCGCAAAGCATCAAAGAGCCATTGCCAACAGATTGGTTGAGTGAAATAGCACCCGATTCAAGGAATGGATTTCCACTCTGCAGTTCCAGATGGTTTTCGGAGACTCAGAATATGCTAAAAACACAATATGCATGCAATGCAAATTGCAATAACAAAAGGATTGAATTTAAAACTTTCCCATGTAGTATGTATGCTAAAGAAAATACCGTAGGAGCGCCCAGCGGAACAACAGATGGAGTCTCCTTTTCCTGGCTACAGTCATTAGAAAATCTAATCAAACTTTCTTGTCTCTGTTGGGAAACTATAAACGTCGACAACTTCTGCTGCTTCCCCATTTGAATGGCCTCACACTGGCCAGCTATTTCCATGTAAGGCATGTTTGTAGCAGCTGAGACTGATAATCTTCCAACTTGATGTGTCGTCTCCAAAACCTGCACACGAATCGCTCTCTTACTTAGCACAATGATCAACTTGATGTAATGTCCATTGATTTACGTGTTTTCTGTCTGACTTCTACAAAGGCCACAAACCAGCAACACTGTATGAGCGACCTCACTTACCGAATCTAAAAGCTGATCAACGCTTATTAGGCTTAAACTTTCCATTGCAACTTTTGTGCCAGGATCGGTTTGATTTTCAGATGCATTGGGTAAGGCATTATCCCCAATTGTGAATAATGGGGGCTCCGCCTGCACAATAAAATCATTCTGCACATTTAATTGTTTGGATATTTTTTTTTTTAAAATAAGGAAGTTGTTCGAGTAAGTTACCTTATCAGGTTCTCCATCATCTTGTACGCCAACTTGGTCTATTTCTCTGGGTGTTTCCATGTTCAACGGAGCTCCCAATGGACATGCATCATCAGGCAGAAAATCATTAAGCAACTGCTGTTTTATAATTGATGAATCCTGTAGTTAAAAAAGAAAACCGAAATAGCTATATCAGAATCATAATTACAAAGAACTAGACATGGTTCCGATAATCAATGTGATAAGAAGTTTACATCTGGTGAATTTCTAAGCGTCTGCACTATCATGGTAGTAAACGATTCCTTAGATTGGCTCTCAGATTTTTCTATAGCAGAAAGTGACCTTAAAGCATCCTCATCATCTTCTTTTGATCCATAAACTTTCCTTACTTGGTCAGCTCCAGAATTGACAGCTTGCAATTTGCGATCATCAACCAACCGTAGAAATGGATCAACCTGACAGCAGGTCATCAACTCATACACGTTAGTGTTGAGCAAGGTTAACTTCGGAAACCTCAAGTCAAAGTAGAAATAACTTAAAAGGTCCGCCAATTTAACATTCAGCGGAAATGTAGTCAGGAAACTCTGTTGCACGTACTGTTTCATTTGTAAGTGCTGCTTTAGCACAAGGTGCAAGAGCAACCACGTTGTAGGCTTTAGCTGAGAAGATGATCATCGATGTTGCCAAGGTAAAGAGGGATCTGCGTCTTGATGGCTGCAATCCTGCAATATGAAATCCCCTAGTTAAAGATGGCATCAGAAAAGTTACAACCAAAATAGTTTGCAGCCGTTAGTACATTATAGTGCAACAAATATATTCAATATAGAATTACAAACTAAAGTTGACAATATCAGACTTACCAAATAGAGGTAATTAGGATATTACGAGAAGACAGACAGATGTGTTTAATAGAAACTGCATCATTAAACGAAAGCTGCTTCTTACAATGCATGCCTTTCTATATTAGATATGCTTTTCTTTCATACTAAATCTCTTAAGCCACCATTCAATTGCGACCCAATCAACGAGTCAATTACCAATTTACCATACAGTTAATAAGAAGCAAAAATCTGTATGTAACTTCATTTTGTCAAGGTGTGAAGAAACACATCATCAGCTTTACAGCCAAAGCAACACAGCAACTCATCACGTATGTTTCCCGAGACTCATAATCAGGTACAATTCTTGACTGAAACTCACCATTACAACATGTTTCAAAGGAAATTCTTCTATAAACTAGACCAAACAGTTAAAAACGCAGTAATAGGAATACGGAGGGCAAGATTAAACTGCAATTTACTCTCCAGCTCACTCCTCTATTAATTTACCAGTAACTGATATGTTTTACTGGGCTGTAAACATTAGATAACTTACACAATTCCTAAGTCGTATGTTGAGCAAGAAAATTTATGAACTATACAATCTCAATCTTGGCATTTCACTATAGCATGAGCAATGTATTTATGTGGTTAAGAACTTATGGAAAAGAAACCGTTTGTAGACTTGAGGGCTTACCTCCTCCAAGAGAAATGCTCCTTAGGGAAAAGGCTAGCTGAAAACTTCGGATCAGGGTCTCATCGGCGGTGTTCTGCATGACATAGTGAATCCAAACAAAGTGAAAATTGGGGACAAACAAGGAGATAAAAAATTAACTACAAATTTCAGTATAAAGTCGATTTGTTACTTGCACAAATTACAAATCCACTAACCCTGAAATTCTGTAGACTAACAGTAAATATTTTAGTCATCTAAACCCAAGATTCCAGACAAGGGGGACAAAAGCATGTCATCTTAACTTCATTGTGCATTGTCATTGATGTAGCCTTTTAAGTTTATAGCTTAAGGATAGGGAGCCAGGCTTAAATTAAGGATTGAATGATCGAATTGATTATGGCGGAGAATAGAGCTGATGACTAAATAGAAAAGTACTGTACTCCTATAATTTGGGCAAATCCACACATCCAACAACCATTGCTAGTGCACCACACACCTCACTATTGCACCACACACATCCAACAACCATTGCTATTGCTACTTAGTACTATGGTTTAATATTATTCCCTCTACACTTCCAAGTGAGAGGTCTTAGGTTCGAATATCGTAAATGGTAAGTTCGATACCAATTTATTTTCCACTCCTTGCTACAAATAAATCGTTGTATAAAAATTTTTTTGTCACCATCTCAATTAGAAGTTTGAGGAATTTTAATGAATTAACAAATTCATAATTTTTATAGTGTTTGATTGATTTCTCGAGATTCATATGAAAATCCCTGAATTTAAGAAGAAAAAATCCCTTAAAATGTTTCTAAATACATGGACGCTGTATTCATGAAGTTTAATGGAGTTCTATAGACTCCATGTGAACTTTAGATGAATTCAATAGAAATCTTAAAAAAAAAAAAAAAAAAAAAAGCATGATTTTCTAAAGTCTAAAAAACACGGATAAATCCTTCCAAATCCATTTAAATTCTTCATTTTTTAAAATACTTTAAAATAAAATCTTAATCGAATATACATGAAATTTTATAAACTATTTTAAATTCAAAATAAATACATTCACATTTCTATACAATTTTACAAACTTTTTAAAATTTTAATTGAATATTCGGAAAGTTTCATAATTTTTTTTTTTTGAGTGAAACGATAGGCGTTAGTAAGTTAAATGTTAGATTAGCCACCAACGGGGTTCTAACCCACGTCGTCATGCAAGAGCACAACACCTTTCCACCACTATGGTAAAGGGCCACTTGCATAATTTATTTAAATCTTAATTGAATAGTCATGATTTAAGAAGAAAAAATCCCTTAAAATGTTTCTAAATACATGGACGTTGTATTCATGAAGTTTAATGGAGTTCTATAGACTCTATGTGAACTTTAGATGAATTCAATAGAAATCTGAAGTCTAAAAAGCATGTATATCTTAAATGAATATACATGAAATTTTATAAACTATTTTAGATTCAAAATAAATACATTCACATTTCTATACAATTTTACAAACTTTTTAAAATTTTAATTGAATATTCGGGAACTTTCATAATTTATTTAAATCTTAATTGAATAGTCATGATTTATTGAACTCTCCTAGTCCTAATCGAAGACACCCTGTGTATAACGTTGCTAAACTCAATTTACCGACGGATTACGAGCAAAGATGGATATCTCTTTCACCGGCGACAAGAAGAGGCGGAGCAGCAGCTCAAGAGCAAGATCTCCGACCACAATTTATTTAAAATTTTGTAGGTAAATTTGAACTGGGTTTTTGTTACTTTTAATGCAGGAGCACGGTGATCAACAAGTCCAAGTTGCTCCGAGTGTTTTGCCGCAAGCAATGGCAGATGGGTCTTGCGGGTTCTAGCAATGGGTCTAGTGACGGTCCTGAGAAACCTTGGGAGGTTTTTTTTGGAGGAGATGGCTGTGGAGCGTCATAAACTGGCGTTACACGAAGGTCGAATTCGAGTCGATAACTTGAGGGGTCACTCTGTTGGCTATTGCCTTTATCCTTCTTAATGTTCAATTCACCTTTCTTCGTATACTTTTCGGTGTGATGCAACTTTTGTGAATCATAATACATTAAAGTTTTTGAATGTCTGTGTGTCTTTGCATTGTACAAGAAGCAGCCTATACAATGCATTGAAAGTTTTGATTGTGTCAATTGAGGGCTGAATCGCGCGCATGAAACATTCTATAGAATTAATTGATTTAATCCAGAGTTTGCGTATAGATGAATTTGGAGAGGCCGTTGCTTGAGAAGGCATTTAGTGAAGAAATCGGTTATCTCGTTAACTGAGATGGGCAAATGAATAGTAGAATACGAACGTCAATGCTTGTTAAACCTCATGAGATACTTCACTCCTCATATTTCAATTTTAATTACATTTAAGATTATACTTTCTGACCGTAGAATTATATATATGGTATTTTTAAAATACCATATATATAAAGTTTTCTGACCGAAAGGTCACGGGTTCCAGTCATGGAAACAATCTCTTTGCAAAACAAGGGTTAAGCTTCGTACGATAGATGTTCCCCCTGACTCTCGCAAAGCGGGGAGCCTTGTTGGCTTGGGATCGCTCCTTTTTTAAACTGTTAATTATCCAAAAGCACAAATATTCCCGCGTCCTGAATCTCTTGATGTACTTCCAAACTGAGGGGGAGTATTGTCCTCTAATCATATGTTCCTAGATCACGATTCCTCCCTACATTTTGGCCATGGTGATATTTCAACTCTATACTATAATGTGACGACTTCTTGAGGCAAGAAGTTAGTACCGTACATGTTATTATTAGATTTTGGATATGCTTCAGGAGTATGAACGCGTTCTATAGGATGTAAATGTAATTTAAACGTATTCGTATCATTGACTTACCACATATCGATCAAACGAGACTCAACTTAAATGTTTTCATGTTACAGACTACATATCGATCTGAAGCTTAATCTAGATATATCATTGACTTACCATTCAGATTGTGAAGCAAGACTGTGACTTCTGTTGTTTTCTAGACATCTTGATAAAGGATTGCAATGCCATGTACGCACCTTAGTATAACAGATCGACCTAGGAGTGAAAATGTAGCATTAACATCAATTAATATGACACAGCATATAAGGGCTTTTAAAATATGCTATTGAGCTTATTGCATTCTTCAAGCTTAATTGGAAATGTCAATAGCTTATAGTTTTCTAGACACCTTTCCGAAGGGGTTATGCATGCGGTATGCAGACAGAATACTCTCATTATTTTTACTTTTATTTTGTAAGTGCTAAATGCATTACTTCATGAGCAGCAATATGCATGGTAAAGACCAATAACATAAAATTGGAGATTTATTATTTGATTTCTTTCACCAATTGGTTGGGCAGGGGATTGTCTGAATATTTTACATTTTGAGCTTCTATCAATGGTTGTTCTGAAAGTTTCTTGTTTTGATTGATTATATCTTATTTATTTGTACTAATATTGCCGTTACTATTGCTTTTAGACCTTAAAAAAAAATTCCCTTTGTTGCTGAAGGCCTTTCAATTTTTTTTTTTTACCGTTGTCTTTACCTGATCATTTCTGTTTTGGAATAGAATGCTAGATATGTATAGTGACACGTCCCAACCCCAATATCCCCAAATATCAGAGCAAGCACATGCTGGCCGACACCCGAGGGTGACGAAGCCATTTTTAAGCATGCCTACGAATAAAATTATGTAATTAGAAAGAAAATACTAATGCAAGAACTTGTTCAGAGCATACAACTACTCGGAATAATATGAAAGAATCTCTAGGAAAGTATGCAAACAAAGGAATAATACATATCAGAAGAAGACTTGAGAATAACTACGCAAAAGGGTCCTGACGTCAAGATCATGTGTCTCGAATCTAAACCCTAAACCCTGAGGGGGCGCAAAATAGAAAAGATGAGTGGACCAAAGTTTATTATAATACTAATAATACAAAAATCAATTCCTTTAATAACATACTAACCCCCTGTTTTGAAAACATATATAATACTACGTAATAAGTTCTTTGAAAACCCTAGCATGATGTGCAATCGTTTGGAAAACATATATACGTAAAACGATACTCTTAGATGGTAGTAAAACCGCCCGAAGGCAAATCTATAAAACCTCTGCCCGCAGGCAAAACCGTAACTCTCAATAATACCATACTCTCTAGGGGTATCATAGTCGCCCAAAGGCAGTACCTGTCCATCACCCGAAGGTGAAGTTGTACGACACTGGGTTACGCCAGTAAAGAAACATGGTAGGCCCCATCATCCGAAAGTGAAGCTGTACGATTCCGGGTTACGCCGGAGAAGAAATCTATAACATCACGCATCGACACTAGCCGTGGCTAGTGAAGCTGTCCGACACTGCTTTTGGCAGTGAAGCTGGGGGTATAACATATATCTCACTCCTCCTCATCATTGTGTCCTATGGCCATATACATCTAATACCCGTGTTGTGTGGATGTGCTGTATGATAACCCACTAGATATTTATCCAAAAACATATCTCAAAACTACATCGAATAAAGCCATGCTAGTTTATACCCATAAACCCACTCAAACTCGTATGTATAAACCCATAGTTTATAATCCTTTAATATAAAGTAAATCTGATAGATCCAAAATATTCATAAAGCAATTCAATTAACTAGTAAATTTTCCAAATCTCAAAAATAGGCAAATCCGTAAACATACTTAAAACATGTTCAAACTTTGCAATAAAATATGCATGCAATCCTAAGATTTATAAAACCATGCAAATTATGAAGGGGACACTCACATATATTTGATTGCCAAGGAGTCGCTCAACTAGCGAGGATGGTACCACTTCCCACCAACGTACCTAAACCCAATTAGAAACCATTTAGTAAAACTCTACTAAAGCGTTAGAATTTGGAAAAACGGATAGCGGATTCGGATTTGGCACGTTGAATAACTTAAGGAGGGACCTCAGGTTACCCCACGCGCCGTAAATGGTTGCTGGACAAGTCGCCTGCCACAGTGCCTCAGGCGAAGGCGCTTATGCCCCACGCGCCGGGCACAAGGGTCTAGGTTTAGATTCGGGTTAGATCCGGGTTTGGGCCTAGGTTCTGGGTACTGGTATTGGCCCGAGAGATTTTGGGCCTCAAGTAATGGGCTTGGGTTTAAGCCCAAGGGATTGAACCTGGGCTATAGGGTAATTGGGTTTATGCCTAAGGGATTGGGCCCGGGTTATAGGTAAATGGGTTGGGCCCGGTTCATTGGGCTGGGGTAAGGGAATCTAGGCTTAAACCGAGTGCAGGTCGGGTCAAAAATAGAATACGGGTCGAATAAAAACAGAATGTACCTTCCGTACGAGATTCCGTTAAAGTTAACGGAATATTAGCCTCCGCCGGTGGTCGTCACCGTTGCTGGAGCTTCGCCAGAACTTCGCCGGAAACTACATATAAATTCCCGAGTTCAATTTCATCAATTTTAAACCCCAAAATTTATATAATCTAGTCCTAAAAATCACCAGGAACTCACCTACAACCTTTTTAGGAAAAGAAGACGTTGAATTCACCTCAGATTCAACATGAACTCGCCGGATTTTCCTTGCCGGATTCTAGGGAATGAAGAACAGAGACGAAATAATGACTAAAACCCTCAATTCGAACTTGAAATTAACATGCAGAGCATGGTTTGGTTACCTGAGTTTCAAACGGAACCAATTTGAGCTCATGGAACCCCAAGCTCGTTGGATTTCTCGCCGGAGCTCCGCACCTGAACCTGGGGTGAGGAACAGAAAGACTACAGGAGTTATAATCTCGGATTCGAGTCCAAAACCTATGAAAAATACCCGCGGTCGAATAGAAATGATTCTCAGGTAAAATCAACGACTGAAACGCCGTTCTTTAGTCGAACTTCGCCGGAAAAACGTAGAGCTGCCCCGATCAGCCCCCACATCCAGGTATCAGACGGAACATGCAGAGCCATCTCTGTGATTCCCAGGTCACCCGAATGACTAATCTGGTGGTTTCGAGTTGGATTTGACTGAGGAAGGTGATGATTGTGAAAGATGGTGCTCGGTGGTTTAGAGAAAGTTTGCAGAGAAGGAAAATGTTAAGAGAAAGGGAAATATATCTCACAGGTGAAGGAAAAGAGGAAATTGGAGGAATGATCCCTGAACTATGATCAAATTGTAGTTTTGGTCCTTAAACTAAAAATTCATTAGATTTGATCCCTGAACTTAACAAAATGTAGAGCATTGGTCCCTCCATACTAACACCGTGAGATTTTCCGTTAGTTTGATGACGTGGTCTTTGTGGGCTCCATATTTTTGTTCACTAAATGCCACGTGGCTTAAAAATTCAAAATAAAAATAAATACAAACATAGAGAAAGAAAAAAAATAAAAAATTAGAAGTTATCTCTCTCTCTCTCTCTTCCTCTCCTGTCTTTCCTTCTGCCCGCCTCCTCCAAACCCCAGCCACACCATTGTAGCACTCTGCAAACAACCAAAACAAAAGAAAGTTTCTAATCCAAATTTCGAACACGTCTCCCGTCTTTCCTTCTGCCTTGCCTCCTCCAAACCCCAGCCACACCATTGTAGCACTCTGCAAACAACCAAAACAAAAGAAAGTTTCTAATCCAAATTTCGAACACGTCTCCCTTTGTAAACGAATTCACAATGACATCCATCTCGCTGTCTCGACAGGTAAGATTCAAGAACTTTGTGGGATGCGGGTTCGGGGTTTGGGTGAAGGCTGTGCTCCATGGGCTACAGGTTGGGGTCGGCTGGGGTCGGCTGGGGAGTGGGGATTAACGATTGGGGGTTGGAAGTGGGAGGTTGGCGGGGAGTGTATCAAAGAATGAAGTTGAAGGGGTGGCCTGCGAGTGTTGGTGGATGAGGTAGGCCTGCAATTTTTGTTGCAATTTTCATCTTTTCTATATATATATATATATATATATATATATATAGGTGAAACAAACATGTAAACACTTTTAACTAAAACTTAACGGAATTGGTGATGAAGGACTAACGCTCCACATCTTATCAAGTTCTAGGACAAAATATAATGATTTTTTAGTTTAGGGACTAAAGCTACAATTCGAGAATAGTTAAGGGACCATTCCTCCCATTTCCTCTGAAGGAAAAAGAGGAAAGAAAAGACTGGGCCGAGTCTTTGGGCTGATACTAGAATAGCCCAATGATTTGGGCCGAATGGATAAACCCAAGGTCAAAAACGTAATTTAACTCGTAATTTGGAACGGGTTATTACTGTTACATATGGAGGTTTACTTTTGGTGTTTGTATTTCATGACAGATTTTTAAATGTGATTCGCACACGAGGTGATACATCACGTATTATTATTATACAAATAGTGAGATATGTGTGTTAAAAAGTTAATAACTTAAAAAGTAAAATTTCTCATCACTTATATAAAAACACATGATGTACCATCCGAGTTTCCGTAACAATTAAAAATGTCTCGTTTTTCACATTTTGTTCTCATGTAGTTATTGCGATCCTGAGGCTGTGGTTGGATGCGAGGATGGGACAGGTCGTGTATTTGACATGTACAGTAAAAAATGTTAGGTGTGTACTGCAAGGAACGTAATGTAGCTTCTATATTGGTGTTTGTATTTGTTTTCATGTTTCTTGTAAAGAATACAGTGAATTTATATAGCTTAAGAAGATACCTTTTGACTTGTAGACATTCATTTAAATTTCTAGAGGCAAAAAATTTCTTGCCGTAAGACGAAAAATGGGAAATATAAGTTAGAATTTAGAATAAACTTCTCGTCTGGCATAAAATGTTTAGTATTTTTTGTAATATGAATTTATATGCTGCTCAATGGTTTATGGATTTCTTTTGATTTCTTATTGCAGAGCACATGCAGGGCCAGTAACATGCTTATGTTTGAGTGATGATCAGTTGATACTTAGTGGTTCATCTCTTGGTGGTATCACAATATCTGGACTTTGATCTAGTGAGCAGGTTGCGAATTTAAGATCAAATGATTCCTCAGGTTACATTTTATGCATGTTCTACCATTGTTATAAGGGACACCTACATTCCAGTTATAACTTCTGATGCATAAAACTAAAATAAATTCGAAAACTTATCAGGACACTGATTACGTTCTTTTTTCATCCTCCACCACTCAGTCTAGTATATCTGATTCATTATGTGCTGGGTAACTCATTCCGTCGTACATATCGACAGAGATACACTATACTTTGTCCATATAATTTTGAGTAGTTCATGAAACTGCAAATGGGATCATGTAGAAGTCATAATTGCACCGTCTCATATTTGTTTGTCGTATCTTATAACCGCTGGGTGTAGTCTTACTATTTGTCTCATTTTGTCCTTATTAAATAAAATATATTCAAGTGGAAGCGAAAGGGTAAGGATTTTGATTGCAGTTGTTTGGAAGTGTTGGCACTTACAATATATCAATAGTCTAAATAACATACTTATGGGTTTTGAGTAATCCTTCCCCTTGGAGTGACAAGGACATTATATTCGCGAGAGAGAACATAAATCTAGTCTCAAATTTTCATTGCAGGCATAAAGACTTTGTGTTTCAACCCGGGCTCTCACTTAGTATTTGCTGGATACGCTGTTGGATTTGCATTATGCTGTGACATTAGGTATGAAATATGACTTCAAAAGCTATTTTAAGAAATTTAATTTGCCTGGTTTCATACTGGAGCTTGATGAAAGTCTATGTCATAATCGTTTCCATATTTTACTTTGTTAGAATTTCGAATACAAGGTTTGATTACTTCAAATCATCTTAGATGATATCATTAGTAGATGGAAAGCTTGTCCTTTCTACAGAATGAGAGTTGCTTCAAGATGAAAACTTCAATAAAAGCAACGATGAAAAAGTGTGCAGACCCCCAATTTTTCCCTCCATCGTTCACCCAATGGAAGTGTCAATGGTTTTGAGACATTAGCCCTCCTCTCTAATAGACAAGGGATTTTAATCAAAAATAGAGTCTGATGGCCCTGAGTGCGTTTTCAAATGGAAGTGTCAATTTAACGACATATTCTAAGGGGATTTCTGTTAAATGCCCATTTAACTGTACATTAATTATGTTTAAAAGAAAACCCACAACTTTTAACCAAAAGAAAAAATCCGTAGTTTTTATATGGTTGTTTTGTCATCTTAAAAGTTGTATGCAAAACTCACCCTTTACGACCTTGTTTTCTCTGTCTCCACCCTTTTATTTTACTATCTCGACAGTAACAGATGACGTAATACAGTTGCATGTTAATTGACCCTATTCTTCTGTTATATGGTATGATTCAGGACAATGACATGTTTATGGTAGACACGAGTGAGTCCAAATAGGGTATCATCTTTGCAACACATGAGAAATGATGCATCAACATTGGCGGTTGGTGGAATAGACGGTGTGCTTCGTCTTCTGAACCAAAAAACAGGTGAAGTAATCTCAAGTTGCGTCTTGGATGGATATTTGTCATCAAGTTCTCGAAACACGATTGGGGCTACCCAAAGAATGAGAGGAACGAGGCTTTCAGAAGATACCCCCGTTGAGAGCATTCTTAGTACCAGACGGGCTCCGATTACGTGTTTGACTGTCGGGATGAGGAAGGTTATCACCACGCACTACGATAAGTACATCAGAATCTGAAAATTTGAGTAAGACGACCACTCTTATTTTGCTAGGACATGTATGATATTCATGATAATGTATATGTATAAAGTTTATTTTATGGTTCGTGTATAAACTACAACAAATTCTTCATCTTTGAAATACAAACCTGTTTTCCGTCGAGTCCTCTGAGAAAAATAGTAGGTCGATTTTACTGATGGTTCAAGAATTGAACCGATTGACAAGAAACGTAGAATCAAAACTGGAAATTGCAGATGATGTGCTGAAAATGAATGTTAGATGGAAGAATTTGACCTTGGAGGGTCGGCGTTCATATTTCTAGTTTGAGTATTTCACCAATTTCCCTAATTCTTGCCAATTTCCCATGTGGAAAATTATAAATGGTTAATTTCTCTCGTCGAGCATTACATCCCATTTTTTGTTCGAAAAATTCACGTTGGTTACGAAATATTATTTTTTTGCTATCGTCTTTTTTTAAATGAGACGGGTTTAATGAAAGTTTAGATGAATTACAGAGAAACATGATGGTACATGAAGGTAAAAGAATGGAGAAAAATAAAAGTTCAAGAGAAAAATCGACGAAATGATTTTTTTCGGTATTTAATTTTTTTGAAAGGTATGGACTTTAAGCCCATAATTAAACTCATCAAGCCCATAACTCAGCCCAAGCCCAATCCCATTGAAAATCCCACAAGACCCCATATTTCTTTTGACCTCACTCCTCTCTTCTTCCCTAAAAACAAAATTCCCACACCAAAACCCTAACCCTAGAAACTCCAGGAGCACCACAAATGGTGTGCATACGCAAGGCCGCAATCGACAACCTCCTGGCGATGCAAGCCTGCAACCTTTTCTGCCTCCCTGAGAGTTGCCAGATGAAGTACTACCTCTATCACATCCTCTCATGGCCGCAGCTCCTCTACGTCGCCGAAGACTACAACGGTCGCATCGTCGGCTACGTCCTGGCCAAGATGGAGGAGGAGAGTAACGAGTGCCACGGCCACATTACCTCCCTCGCCGTCCTCCGCACCTACCGCAAACTCGGCCTCGCCACCAAGCTCATGAACGCCGCCCAGAACGCCAGGGAACAGGTGTTTGCGGCGGAGTACGTGTCGCTTCATGTGAGGAAGAGCAATCGGGCAGCGTTCAATTTGTACACTGAGACTTTGGGATATAAGATTCATGATGTGAAGGCGAAGTAATATGCCGATGGGGAAGATGCGTATGATATGAGGAAGGAGCTCAAGGGGAAGAAAGTGCATGGACATAGTCATGGGCATGTGCATGGTCATGGGAATGGGCATGGGCATGGGCATGGGCATGGGCATCACCACCATCATCACCATCATGAAGGTGGGTGTTGCTCAGGGGAGGCGGCGAAACCAGATAAGGCGGAGGCGAAAAAGGTCGAGAGAGGGAATGCCAAGGCGGAGGCCAAAGCGGTATGAGAGTCAGAGGTAAATTGAGTTATTTGGGGAAAGTGCATTGTCTGTTGTTTTACTTTATCTATGGTTTTTGTGCTTAGTGTTTGTACTGCAATTTGGAATATGCATTTGAGGAATCGGAACTTCATAGTTTTTGTCTGAAGTTGTTGATGTTTAAATACTTACTCTGCTTTATGTTGTAATTTAAGTTTATTTTCTGTTCATTGGCCTGGCTCTTTTGTTCATAGTTTGGTTGAAGAATGCGAATCCCAATAATGATTATACATTGATTAGGAATTTATGTTTTTGATTTGAGTGTGTTCCGTTTGATGTGTACCTCATGCTCTTAACATGTAGTGCTAAATCTTTCTTCCTCACTAGTAATGAGTCCTATTAGTAGCAGACTTTGGGAATAAGTTTGGAATAGAGTAGGAAAAATGGCTGGATTAGTAGTTGTTTTACTTGGTTAAGTTAACAAACCCACACACCCACAATGCACTAAACCCGCATCTCGCCCTTTAGCCTTGCCCGTTTGAGGGTAACGGTACTATTCTGCCCATGCTGGATTAAGAATTACTCTTTTCAGTAGTGTGTATACATGCATGCATACAAGACTAGCGGTTTGGTATTGAAAGTGAAGCACATTAGCTTTTTCAAGTGTGGGATTGTATCTGAAGTTAATCCCGCTTTCTCTGGATTTTCAGAAATTGGGGAGGAATAAAGTGTTTTCTATTTTGGGCAATTGTTCTCTGTTACAAGTTTCTATCTTTCATCCTCCTAATCATTTTGTTTGGTTAATGCTTGGAGTTTTAAGTTGTTTTGAACATGAATTTCTCTTGAGAAATGTTTTGAATCAGGGCTGTCTGTATGTTCACTAGTTAATCACCCAAGCATGTTGGCATGATGGTGAATTTTTTTGGAAGTTGTGAGGTGTTGAATGACTAAACAGGTCCAGTAAAGTATAGATTTAAGAATTGACCAAATATAGAATCCAGTATTGATAGGAAATCACTAAGAGCACCGAAGATTTTTTATATACGCAGTGAAGAAAACACTCTGATGTGTTGTAATGCAGTGGGCAAAGAGATTGAATAGAAAATAGGATGTTTTCCAACTGACATTCTGAAATGAGCACCCAATTAAAGTTCCTAGTCCGTTGCTTGCATCAGGTAGGGTGCCGATGAATTTTTCGTGGCCGTGACAGTATCAAGTTCTATTTCTGGAAATAGAGAAGAGTGCAGAAAACTTATTATGTTCTACTTTATCTTTTGTCATCACAAAATTTGCAATCTAAAATAGGAGGTTTTTTCGAACTGGCCTTCCGAAATGAGCAGCAAATAAGAAGTTTCTATTCAATTTCTTGCACCGGTTAGGTTTCTGTAGGAGTTTTTTTAGCCATGGTGAAATGTCAAGTTCCGCCTTGGCACTGATGCAAACTTGGGTTAACTTCACAAGGCTTTCTATACTCCCACTCACACTCCAGTTCAACATGATTGACGTAAACATGTTGAAGTTGATCAACATTTTAATTTATTTGACTTCTGTAAAGTCTGAGCATCAACTGACAGATGTACTTATTTTTGTCCAATTGAATTTATCATAGCTCACTAGAAAAGAATGGGCATTGATTTGTACACCACTCAGCTGAGGTTACTTAGGGTCTATTTGGAATCTTAATTGCATCTGATTTTTTGTCCTTTTTAAATAAATGATAAATGTGGCTAAATTAATTAATACGCATTAGTTTCAAAACAATAAATTGGATCCAAAAATAATACCAAACATTCCCTTATATATGATTATGTTTGAGTGAAAGATTTCTAAGTCTCAAGAGACTGACGCCAAATTAGTAAGAGATGGATTGCAAAATGAGAGATTGGAGAGACTAGACCATTCCAAAAGCATGTAAGAGGGATTTGGATGCGGTGTAAGTATTCAGTTTTCCAACATATTGTTAGCAAAACTTAGTGTATAAGTAAATACATCTTAATTGCTTGGTAAGGAAAAAAATTGTGTTGCTTCTACGTGCTGTATATTGGCTGATGGGTTTCAGAGTATTTTTTGTATTGTTGACTGAATTTCGCCGAGTCTGATTGATTTTGTTTGCTACGATTGGTGAGGCTTATGTTACTGTTGATGGGTTTGGTTAACAGGGTTTTCATTCCTTTTCAGATTTGTTTCAACACACACTTCTCGAAATTTGCAGGATGCTATGGTGATAGTTCCAATGATCTAATGAAATGAACTATTTAATGTCAGTAGTTTGAGGGCTCTGACCACAACACACAGCAGCAGCGATGGGGGAGGAGAAGCGGCACCAGGTGATGTAGAACCTATTCGGTGATCAATCTGAAGAGGAAGAGGAAGAGGTCGATTCAGAGCACAAGTCCAATCCCCAGCCCAGTTCTGCATGATCCTCTAATTTCAAGTTTCCTTTCTATTCTGATTCCAAAAGCATGTTCGAGAATGATTAGGGTTTCAATTTTTTCTTTAATCTTAGCTGAAGGAAGATATGGGTTGTGCTTTTGTTAATGGCGGTGGATGATTTGGATGATAGTATGTATCTTGGGGATTTTTTTTGCCTGCAGTTGTTTTGTGGAATGAGATTCTTATGAGTAGTCAATTTTAGTGGGATTGTTGTTTCAATTTGGATAATGAATGATGTCGTTTTCCTATTCGGTCTGACCTTTGATGTTGTAGCAGATCTGGAATTTTGTGAAGTGCTCTTTATTGAGAATGAAGTGCCACAAATTGACGAATAAAAAAAAATTGCACATCTTCTGATTAGAAATATAGAATTGGTTTTAAACTATTTTCTTGACTGTTTGGTTTTGATGTGCTTTACCGATAAATCGAGGGTTTGCAAGATATTTTTTGTTGTTTTCTCTGCGTTAACTCTGCTTTTACTTGGTTAAATGGTGGGTGTTATCATTTTCAATCTTCTTTCATATGTCTTGCCATTGACTGGGGATATGGATGGTCCTGCTACCCTGTACACCGCAGTACAGGGCTGTAACAAGATTATCTATTGTGCTACTGCACGCTCTACTATCAAGGAAGACCTCTGCAGGGTTGATCAAAGAGGGGTCTACAATCTTACTATAGCATTTCAGGTGTGATCCTTATCGCCATATCCTTGAAATACTCCTTTTTGATATTTAGTAATCTGTTTCGGTTTTGATGTCTTTTAAGTTAATGGGTTGGTTCAATGTTGGATTTGAATTTTACCCTTCGAGAGTTGGATATCTATAAACTATCTAGAGCAAGGGAAAAGAAGACAAGGGACCTAAACCAAGTGAGGTGCATCAAGGATGAGGATGGAAAGGTTCTTACTACAGAGAACGCGGTTAAAGACAGATGGAGAGGTTATTTTCATAATCTTTTCAATGAAGGACATGAAATGAGTGCTTCTTTAGGGGAGTTGAGTAACTCAGAAGAGTGTATAAACTACTCTTTTTATCGTCGAATCCGGAAGGAAGAAGTGGTTGTAGCTTTGAAGAAGATGAAGCATAAAAAAGCAATAGGCCCAGACGATATACCAATCGAAGTGTGGAAACTTTTGGGAGAGACAGGTATAACATGGCTCACTGACCTTTTCAATAAGATTTTGAAAACGAAGAAGATGCCAAATGAGTGGCGAACGAGCACTTTGGTGCCTATCTACAAGAATAAGGGCGACGTACAAAATTGCATGAACTATAGGGGTATTAAGCTAATGAGTCATACAATGAAGCTCTGGGAGAGAGTCATTGAGCATAGATTGAGGCAAGAGACACGGGTTTCGGACAATCAATTCGGGTTCATGCCAGGGCGCTCAAACATGGAGGCAATCTATCTCTTACGAAGATTGATGGAAAGATATAGAGATGGGAAAAAGGATTTACACATGGTCTTTATAGATTTGGAAAAAGCGTATGATAGGGTCCCAAGAGACATTCTTTGGAGGATTTTAGAGAAGAAAGGAGTACGAGTAGCATATATCTAAGCTATAAAGGATATGTATGAAGGAGCAAAGACTGCCGTAAGAACTCATGAAGGACAAAACCGAAAGCTTTCCCATAACTGTAGGATTACATCAAGGCTCATCCTTAAGTCCTTACCTTTTTGCGTTGGTAATGGATGAGTTAACAGGATATATTCAAGATGATATTCCTTGGTGTATGCTTTTCGCAGACGATATAGTGTTGATAGATGAAACTCAGGAAGGGGTAAATGCAAAGCTTAACCTTTGGAGAGAAGTGTTGGAATCTAAAGGTCTTTGCCTAAGCCGATCAAAGACAGAATATATGGAGTGCAAGTTCAGTGCAAATAGAGGCCAAAACGAGTTAGGGGTGAGGATCGGAGATCAAGAAATACCAAAGAGCGACCGTTTTCGTTACCTAGGATCTATCTTGCAAAAAGAACGGAGAATTAGATGGAGATCTCAACCATAGAATACAAGTTGGATGGATGAAGTGGAAGAGTGCATCCGGTGTGTTGTGTGACCGCCGTATGCCACTGAAGCTCATGGGAAAATTTTATAGGACGGCAATAAGGCCGGCGATGCTGTATGGCACAGAATGTTGGGCGGTGAAACATCAACACGTACACAAAATGGGTGTAGCGGAGATGAGGATGCTTCGTTGGATGTGTGGGCACACGAGAAAGGATAAGATTAGGAATGAGGATATCCGGGGTAAAGTAGGAGTAGCCGAAATTGAAGGAAAGATGAGAGAAAATCGGTTACGGTGGTTTGGACATGTGCAAAGAAGGCCTACTGACGCTCCGATTAGAAGATGTGACTATGGGACAGAGGTTCAGGGCCGAAGGGGTAGAGGAAGACCTAGGAAAACTTTGGAAGAGACTCTAAGAAAAGACTTAGAGTACTTGGATCTAACGAAGGACATGACACAGGATCGAGCACAATGGCGTTCTAAGATTTATATAGCCGATCCCACTCAGTGACTTGGATTTTCCAAGTCTCCAACCGAGAAGTTTTCTTCACTCGGGAAATTAAGGGAACACTACCCCAACCTACATGCTCCACTCAGAAAGCTTCAACATACAAGCTTCAACAAAAGAAAATTCAAAGAACTTAGCGAAGAAGGCTTTGGTGTATTTAACACAATACGTTGAAATGAAGGAAAGCTTATTTATTGATATCCCCGATAAGCTACAAATATATACATATACATGAGTCAAAATAAACACACAAGAGGGAGCCTTCACAAAGGTTGCTTAGGAGAAGTCTCAGCAGTCCGTAGAGCCCCAGAAAGAGAAGGCACCGGAGGGGGATCATTTGGAGCCTCAGTACTGGACAGAACCCTAGAAGGAGGAGGCATCAGAGGTTGATCATTTGGAGCTTCATTACGCGGTACAGCCCCAGAAGACGAAGGCAATAAATGCCTTTGGAACAAACCCACAAATCTCTGATGATCAAGTAAAACCTGACCATCAGTTTCCTTCATCTGGTCAAGCTTTCTCTTCATGTTTGTAGCATAGTCATGTGCGAGCCGGTGCAACTGTTTATTCTCATGCTTGAGCCCTCTAATCTCCTGTTTGAGACTCATCACTTCAGCCGCCAATGATTCAACTTGGCGGGTTCGAGCAAATAGACGTTGGGCCATATTAGACACAGAACCTGCACACTGAACACTGAGAGCCAGCGAATCCTTAACAGCTAACTCATCAGACCGTTTGGAAAGTAGTCTGTTATCTTTGGGAGTGAGAAGGTTCCTGGCCACCACCGCAGCGGTCATATCATTCTTCATCACGGAATCCCCAACGGTAAGAGGACCAGTAGGGGAGACGAAGGATGGGCGCCATATGTTGTCTGGAGAAGGCGGGGCTGCCTCTTCAACAAGGTTCAAGTCAAAACGACGGTCGGAGGGGCCAGACATTTTCAAAGGTGTTGAAGAGAGAAGAGGTCGGACAAATCAAAATCTTAGAAGTGCAAGAATGAAGCTTCTACTGGTGGAGATTCAAGTGTGCTTTGGAATTTAATGCCAGCCCCTATAAAAATCTGCACTCGACAGAGCTTCAGAAATCGAAGAGGCGCATGCTCAGAAATCGAAGAGGCGTTTGCTTTCTCAAAAGCTGGGCTGCTTAGAGATCACAAGGGTTGATCTCAGAAATCGAAGAGGCGTTTGCTTTCTCAAAAGTTGGGCTGCTCAAAGACCACGAAGGCCGATCTCAGAAATCGAAGAGGCGCTCGCTTTCTCAAAAGCTGGGCTCCCCAGAGACCACGAGGGCCGATCTCAGAAATCGAAGAGGCACCTACTTTTCTAGCCTTGTCAGCACCTGTCACACGCACACTCAGCTTTGCGGAAATTATGGGCATTCTGTCGAAGACTTCTGGGGAAGTAGAAAACACATGAATCTTACTGTTCAATCACCCACTTCCCACACGCAACAATAGCTCATGGGTACCACAGATAACTTTGCCAAAGTTCTCTGCCAAAGTTGAGCACGTGAAGCTTGCAGCTCCCACTACATCGCTCTGACCAAGAAGGGTAAAAGAATAGCAAAGAAACAGCACTAACAAAGTTTAGACCCATAAATTTTGAAGGTCTAGCTACCATATTATTACCCACAAGGGTAAAGGAACAGTACCACTGCTGGATAATTGGAAAGTCCCTGTGTGTCAACCTCTGTGCTTCGTGGCAAGGTAGACTAGCAAACATGCCCAACCTTTACTCACATTTGAGAAAACACTCCCAATAAGATTGCTTGCTCCAAAATCGAAGAGGCACCGTCCTCCGAATCTCGAGAGCCAGACTCCCAACATGACTACTTTCTTAAAAATCGAAGAGAGGGTAAAGGAACAGTACCATTGCTGGATAATTGGAAAGTCCCTGTGTGGCAACCTCTGTGCTTCGTGGCAAGGTAGACTAGCAAACATGCCCAACCTTTACTCACATTCGAGAAAACACTCCCAACAAGATTGCTTGCTCCAAAATCGAAGAGGCACCGCCCTCCGAATCTCGAGAGCCAGACTCCCAACATGATTACTTTATCAAAAATCGAAGAGACACTGCTCCCCGAATCTCGAGAGCCAGACCCACAGCATGATTGCTTTCTCAAAAATCGATGAGGCATTGTTCTCCGAATCAATCGAAGAGGCGCTCGCTTTCTCAAAAGTTGGGCTGCTCAGAGACCACGAGGGCCGATCTCAGAAATCGAAGAGGCACCTACTTTTCTAGCCTTGTCAGCACCTGTCACACGAACACTCAGCTTTGCAGAAATTATGGGCATTCTGTCGAAGACTTCTGGTGAAGTAGAAAGCACATGAATCTTACTGTTCAATCATCCACTTCCCACACGCAACAATAGCTCATGGGTACCACAGATGACTTTGCCAAAGTTCTCTGCCAAAGTTGAGCACGTGAAGCTTGCAGCTCCCACTACATCGCTCTGACCAAGAAAGGTAAAAGAATAGCAAAGAAACAGCACTAACAAAGTTTGGACACATAAATTTTGAAGGTCTAGCTACCATATTATTACCCACAAGGGTAAAGGAACAGTACCACTGCTGGATATCGAAGAGGCACCGTCCTCTGAATCTCGAGAGCCAGACTCCCAACATGACTACTTTCTCAAAATCGAAGAGAGGGTAAAGGAACAGTACCATTGCTGGATAATTGGAAAGTCCCTGTGTGTCAACCTTTGTGCTTCGTGGCAAGGTAGACTAGCAAACATGCCCAACCTTTACTCACATTCGAGACAACACTCCCAACAAGATTGCTTGCTCCAAAATCGAAGAGGCACCGCCCTCCGAATCTCGAGAGCCAGACTCCCAACATGATTACTTCCTCAAAAATCGAAGAGACACTGCTCTCCGAATCTCGAGAGCCAGACCCCCAGCATGATTGCTTTCTCAAAAATCGAAGAGGCATCGTTCTCCGAATCTCGAGAGCCATATACCACAGACCACTTTTTCAAAGTGCTCTGACAGAGTTAAAACATGTGAAACTGGCAGCTCCCACTACGGTGCTATGACCAAGCAGGGTAAAGGAATAGCATTACTACTTGTTGTTAGGGAGACTCCTATATATGTCGACCTCCATCCCAACGGACAGGCAGACCTGCAAAAATGTTCAACCCTTCATCATATCTGAGAGGGCACTCCCAACGAAGCCTTTCGAAATATTCAGCTTTCTTTCCCCCCGATAATACCTCTGCAAACAAGCTATACTAGAGCAAGAATATCTCATATCATCAGGGTTAAAAGCAAGAGTATCCCATATCATGCTTTTTCCCTGTCTTTTCTTTTGGCCTTGTTTTTACCTGCAAGACAAGGAGAAAGAGAGCAATCAGTCAGCACTTGGAATCAAGATTCCAGCCAGGAACTGACTGCCTGAAACCCCTTACCTGATTACTTACCTGGCATTGCTCTCGAGTACTCATCTTCAACATCTTATGTTTCCAGGGAAGATTCTGCATCTACTTGAGGAACAGATAGGGCAAGTGCGAAGGATACAAGGAAGCATGTGGAGACAAGCGTAACAGCACACATGCCGATACATCCATTACTTTGTCAAAAGCAAAAGTATCCCATATCAGCAGGGTGGAACGTACTCTAGATTTGATGGACTTGTTTTTGACCCTCAAATTCTTCAGTCGACCTTATACTCTGGAGGAAACCAGAAAACCCTCCAGCTCAGTTCAAGAATAAGCCTGTGGAAAGTTACTTCTTCAAAAGCAAAAGTATCTCATATCATCTCTTCTCATTTTTCTTCTCTTTATCCTTCATGCTGCTGCAAGATGGGGAGAAGGTGAACAATCAGTCGGAGCTCTGATTGCTTACCTTGTCTGTCACCTCTTTCAGCAGACCCCCTAGCTCGGCGACTTGGGGGACTCCTACTACATGGTTTGTATCGCGCTTGACCAAGCCTGAAACTACAAGTAAGCTTCAAGTGAAATTGATACATTACCTTGTGCATCTCCACCAATTAAAGATACCACCCCTGGATGGAGGAAGAGTACTTCCAGAGAAGATGCTACCTATGAGACAGATAAGGCAAGTCAAGACGACACCACACTCCGATACTTAGAAGTTTCGTGATTACGAGATCATTCTCCCACAATATTTCCTAATGTCATTTGTACTAAATCATTCACTTGTACTCACTAAAGGAGAGCTTGAACCTATGTACTTGTGTAAACCCTTCACAATTAATGAGAACTCTTCTATTCCGTGGACGTAGCCAATCTGGGTGAACCACGTACATCTTGTGTTTGCTTTCCTATCTCTATCCATTTATATACTTATCCACACTAATGAAAAAAAGGAGCAATCTAGCGAAGATCACAAAAAGCGACCGTTTTCGCTACCTAGGATCTATCTTGCAAGAGAACGGAGAATTAGATGGAGATCTCAACCATAGAATACGAGCTGGATGGATGAAGTGTAAGAGTGCATCCGGCGTGTTGTGTGACCGTCGTAGGCCACTGAAGCTCAAGGGAAAATTTTATAGGACGGCAATAAGGCCAGCGATGTTGTATGGCACAGAATGTTGGGCGGTGAAGCATCAACACGTACACAAAATGGGTGTAGCGGAGATGAGGATGCTTCGTGGGATGTGTGGGCACACGAGAAAGGATAAGATTGGGAATGAGGATATCCGAGGTAAAGTCGGAGTAGACGAAATTGTAGGAAAGATGAGAGAAAATCGGCTCCGGTGATTTGGACATGTGCAAAGAAGGCCGACTGACGCTCCGGTTCGAAGATGTGACTACGGGACAGAGGTTCAGGGCCGAAGGGGTAGAGGAAGACCTAGGAAAACTTTGGAAGAGACTCTAAGAAAAGACTTAGAGTACTTGGATCTAACGGAGGACATGACACAAAACCGAGCGCAATTGCGTTCTAGGATTCATATAGCCGACCCCACTTAGTGGGAAAAGGCTTTGTTGTTGTTGTTGTTGTTGTTGAGAGTTGCATATGTGAAGCTTTTGACTGTTTGCATTGCAGGACTATAACAACAAAATGGTGCAATTACGAGCAGGAAAGAGTTGCAAGAGCAAACTTACAATTGTAAAGTTCAAGACTCCGGAGTCAGTGGATGGATGGGAAGTTCGTCAGGGGACTTACTTTCAGGATGTGGTTGCTTCTATGTATGATGGAGGAATGGATGCCGAGTTCGAATTCACTTTCACCAGAGATGCTGTTTTCTCCACTAAGAGAAGGACTGAAGTGGGGTTTTGAGGTTCTAAATGGAAACCAACTATTATTCCTTTGACTCTATTTTTTGCTGCATTGTGGGACATGTTTTCACCAGAGGAGCGTATGTTGAACTGTAAAAAAGGCTTTCACTTCCTTTGGGTTGGACCCTCGACTGGTATGCCATATTTGCATTCTCAAATGGAGCTACTAAGCTAAAAGCAGCTTCCCAAAATGGAATTCATGGTATTTTTCTTAGTATTAATTACAAGATTTGGGTAAATAATATTCTTGGTATCCTTCTTATTATTAATTACTTAGAATTTGAACACAAAATGAACTCATTTGAGTACAGATAGTATTTCTATGTTTTCCCTCTTTGTTTTAGAGATTATCAACTGTTCTTAAGCTGTTTTCATAGTGATTAGAATGAATCAAGTGATCGCGAGATAGGCTAATCAAAAGAGCACAAATATGAAGGAAAACAGGTTCTGCTTTCTTAAGGTATCAATTTTTGAAGTTTGGAGGCTTATGTCAATCTATGACAATTGTTCGAATCATTGTATCTAAGTATGCATTATACATTCAATTAAGCCAATGACGCATGTGTGCCAACGAATTTCAAAGAGTTCGGCTTGGTTTTCTCTCTTTGGTCTTTAATATGAAAGTGTGAGGCACTTGTTCGTTGACTAATTGAGTTCCTTCTCCAAGTTTTTAGTAGACATTGGGTCGCTGTAATTTGCTTTTATGGGCACATCTGTGACTAAAGAAAATATAAGCTGTCAAGTTCCCAAAATGCCCAAGGAGATCAAGTTTAACAAGTCATGAACTGTGATCAATCCAAATGCAGTGAAATTAGGGATTTTACACTTAAAAAGTCAGTTAGCTTTAGACCATAGGATTAGCATTTTGCACATGTGAGTATCATTAACCTGCTCACTTTATTTTTCCGGATAAGAAACAAACTGTCATTGAAGGGAGAAGAAAGTGTACAAAAACTAAGGTTCTGTAAGCTTACACTCATATGCCTAATATTTTATTTTCATCTTTTCTTGGCAGGTATTTACAATAATAGATGCTAACAGTTTTCTTTAACACTAGGGCCTTTAACTTAAGGGGTCGCTTGACATCCGTATCATCTTTTGATTTTGCAGAGGTTGTAATAATTTTCCTTTGACTGATATGTTGATAAGTTTGTTTTCGTAGATACCAAAGACTACATGGAAGATCTCTGTGTGAATATCAAGGTCCGTACTTTTCCTTTTTAGTTGGCAATACGAGCATCTTCAACTTTTTAAAAATAAACGTATAACATATTATAAGTATGAACTGGTGTGGGTTAATAAGGAACTTAGATATGCGGGATAGAAGATGGAAATGAAAACTAAAGAAATCAAAGTATTCTGATTACATATAAGTACAATTTTTGAAGAAAACTTAAGAAACAAATAGATTTTGATTGCAAATTAAGAAAACTTAAGAGACCAGTTCAATTGGGTAGCTGAAAAAATGGAAAGAAAAGAAAAATATTAGTAAACATTCGGTACGTTAGAAGAATTTGTTTTTACTTATGGAGACCATTTGATTGCTAAGGAAATCGAGGAAAAGAAAACAAAGAAACTAAGAGTTGTCTGAGTTGTTTCTAGAGAGAGGACTTGGAAAAAACAACACATATTTTTGTAATGGTTCTCATGAATTTCCTTTTGACTAAAACAAAACATAATCAGTTTGTTTGCTTTACTGAGAATGTAGCGTTTATTGTGATTAATTTCGGGTTTTGAAGGAGATATTTGTGTCCCGAGCCGTATCTAGAGTAGATTTTGGAGTTCCTTTGGTCTTAGAATATTTGGTTACTCCAGTGCATTGACAATTAATAGATGTAATTCTTTTTACCATTGTTGTGTATAATTATGCTGACTTATATGTTATAACGTGACAAAAGTTGTTTCGCTTCCAAAGCATCAACGTATATTAAAAAGAAATATATAAAGAGGGCTGGAACCCAGTCGAAGCTGGGGGGCTAGGCTCTCACGCCCATATTATATTACTTGAAGAAAAAACATACAACGGGAGGGACATAGTACCTAAACCCCGAGGATCAAAAAAACAAAATCATATACAACCACTCCAAGTAGTTAACATGGTCATCACATATTGAATCCAAAAGGTTGATGCTCCTCCATTCACTGAATCCAAAATCTCTGGTTCATATGGTTTGTCATTTGAAAAGAAAATAAAAATTACGGTGATGATGAATGAAGAATAAAATTAAGAAATGAGATTGGCATTTGAATATTTCATAGTTTATATTGAATTAGGCTAGTGTGAATTGAAACAAGTTAGAAAACGCACCTTAATCCCAAATAGTAATGTGTGGGATGTGAGCAATCTTAGGCCAGTCCTCACCTGTTTCTTTGCCGCATCTTTCCCATAACTTGGGGCAACCAGAAATTTGCAATGTATTTAAACAGGGGAGTCCACGAATCCATTCTGGCAGTGAAGCCAAATCCTCAATTTCCTCAAGTGACAGATGTGTTAATTTGGAGAGAGGAGGGGAAGAAGAAGAGGCAGAAACATCAACACCAACATCATGTGTAATATCAGATGCTCCTCTAAAAAACAAGGAATCAACAACCTTCCAGCTGCTCTTACAGACTTGTATTCTCTCCACATTTGGACAAAGAGGGATGGAAGTTAGATTAGGAGTGTGCGCCCTCCACCATCCCTTCAGAACAGGGCAACCTACTAGGCAGAGTGTCTCCAGGGAGGGAAAGAATGAGATCCTCATCATCTCATCACTCATACTATTACTGCTCTCTTTCTCTGATATGTACTCCAACTTCTCCAAATATCCAAGTTGAAGTTTCTTAAGGGAAGGCAAATGATCCAAGGGTGGAAGATGTTGGCATCTCTTACAATTCCAGAATGCGAGATTAACAATATTAATGAGAGAAGAAAACCAACTCGCAAACCTCACACCACCATAATACCACACGGACAACTGCTTTAGATTAGAATGGGGTTGCAATACTTCCATTGACTTTATAATATCCACCTCATCAACTGCCTTTACATCTTCTCCAAATTTCCACCACAATTCCAACGAATGGAGATGCTGTTTGTCCTTGAGAGGTGTACCAACATTTGATTCTGACACCACATCTTTCTCGTGCCTCAAATTATCAAAAATAACCAAGTCTCCCCTTAATTCGTTAAGGGTGGCCAGCTCAGCAAGACCAGCTACCCCCTCCAAACAAGCCCCTTTAATTCCCAAACAACTCACTCAAACAAATCTATTCAATGTACGAACACCTTTCAATTCACCAATTCCATTCGTCACGTGGCATTCCAACTCAACCCAATAAATACAATTCTCAATCCATACAAGATGATCCAAGATGCCTTAAGTTGATCATTTTTTTAATGTCTCTAGGCAATTCCACAAGACTAAGACACTGACTGAGATCTAGTGTTTCCAAATTCGAAAGTCCAACTATCCAATCTGGAAGTCTCTCCATCATGAGATTCCCACTAAGATCAAGATATCTCAAATGTTTCATTTTTTTAAAACAATTAGGCAATCTTATAATATATATTGTATTGAGACTCAACATCCGTAATGACTTAAAATTTGAAACAATTGTGGTACAAAATGAATCACATAATGACTCATCGTAATCTTTCAAAACCTCTTGGCAAAGAAAAAGATAAGTTCGTATCTTGCATGCTTTTACCAAGGAAGTTGGCACTTCCCATTTCAACAAATCAATATCAAAATTGAAAGATACGTGACGAAGCTTTTCATGAAAGTTCTTTCGGTTCAGATCAACTACGACGCTCCTGACACCCGACACTAAGATTGCAAGTTCATTCATGAGATCGTGCATTTTACAACTTTCTATTATACCAAACTCATTTGTTTTTTCTTCTTGAAAAAACGATCTGCACAACAATTCCCTATAATATTCAAACGCAACATCCTCCAAACACTCGATTTCGTCGGATGACTTAACGAACCCTTGGGCCACCCAAAGTCTAATCAATCTTGGTACAGAGATATCATAATCAGGTGGGAACAAGCTACAATAAGCAAAACAATGCTTCAAATGTGATGGGAGCACATCATAACTTAGTTTAAGTGTTGGTAAAATATCATCTTCTTTTTGACTTATTTTTGAAAGTTTCCTTTCTTTGAAATTAAGCCATTCTATTTCATGATGTTTGGTGCGCAACATCCCACCTATCGTCCTTAGAGCGAGTGGAACTCCCTGACATTTTCTTACAACCTCCATCCCAACTGCCTTAATTGTTGAATTCTCTGGTTCTTCTCCATCTTTAAAAGCCATTTTTCTTAAATAAAGACTAGCTTTGCTCTTCATTCAAACCCCTTAAGGCGTACTGTTTAGTTGTGTGTGTGATGTCATCGCAACGATTTCAGTACGTGTGGTTATTAATATTCTACTACCTTCTCCACCACCCCTTAACAAGTCCATCAAGCTAAGCCACTTATGTGGATCCTCATTCCACACATCATCCAACACAAGTAGGTATTTCTTCCCATTTACTTTTTTTCTAAGATCATTTTGCAGCTGATCCATATCAAGCTGGTCCACCTTATCACGCTCCTTTTTATCAAGCTTGTCAGCTTTTAGGATTTTCTTTGCCAATATATCCAACTCAAATATATTAGAGACACATATCCATATTTTCAACTCAAAATGCTTTTGAATCACCTCATCATTGAATATGAGTTGGGCAAGGGCACTTTTCCCCAATCCTCCAATTCCAACTATGGAAACGGTTGAAACATTCTCAGTTGAGATGGGATCCAACAAAAGTTGGATAAGTGCCTTTTTATCTTCATCTCTCCCTATAATATTTTCCTTAGGGACAAATGAGTGAGTAACCCTCTCTCTCAATATTAATCTTGTATCTTCACGATTATTGTTTAAGTCCTTGGGTCTACGGGATTCAATCTCACTAAGCCTCTTGTTGATATCTTTTATCTTATGACTCATCTTTAACCCAAAAACAAGTTGATTTGAGCTAGAAAAGAAAAGACGCACCTGTAAGAGTTTGAGTAGACACAATCATTTTTTCGATAGAACTGTGTTAATAAGTTAATAGAGTTTTGTAACGGTAAGTTATACGAAACATTCAAAACAATAATGTAGAAGATTTATTGCAGTTAAATATAAGTTATTGAGAGACCTATTGTGCTCCTAATAGGTTAATATCGATAAGCTTACGTGACTACGAAAATGTTCTACAAGGTGCAACCTCTCGAATCATCTTGTTAATATATTTTATTTAATGATTCATCTTTCGTCAGAAAGCAAATTCATTTGAGCTAAAGAAAAAAGAGGCATACCTTCTTTGACAGCTTAGTATTGCCATGCATCACTAGTCTCCGCTGAACTTCAGTATTAAACTCATCCAGCACATCATCGGCTTCATAAACTGCATCTTCTACGCTTTCGAGCCATAGTTTGACTTCACTGTTGTTGGCTTGCTTTTGCTCAGCGTCTAGAAGAACAGCTTGGAATCCGACAACTGTCTCCTTGAGCTTGTTGAGCTCATCTTGGACACCCCAAATCGACCCAATCTCTTGGAAAGCACGGTTGCCAAGCCTTACAATGATCCGTTCTACAATATTAAAGAGAACTCCTTCTGCCATTTCTTGTATTCAGAACAAGCAAAAACCCAAGTGAAGTAAATTAAAATATAAAGTTGTAACTAAGAAATTGATTTTGCGTAATGAAAGATGGCTCCTCCTGCTAGTCTTTACATGCCCATCTCTCATCCAACCACTCACACATCATTCAATGTATAAAATAAAAACAAAGACCTAAGAATGGTCAATATGTTACAGCTGGCCTTAATAATTGAAAAGTTGATTTTTAATGCCAGCCGGGTCCTTCACAAATAGCTAGTGCTCTGCTTGTGTTGTGTCGTTTTTTCATTTGATTTCCAATACATGTTCTCTCTTCCACACCCCTTGGGCCCGCTATTATAACCGGTCATCATTTGTACACCCACCGCTCTACCTTTCTACACCCAGCACTTCCAAATAGAAAGCAATCAGTCTAATTTTATTTGTATCTTCAGTGCGAATTTATACACCCAGCACTGCACGTTTCTGACACCTTCTTTCAGCTGAGGAAATTAGATTTCCTTTAATTTCTAGTTTCAAAAAATTGAGGGTTGAGGAAAAAAACAAATAATAATAAAAAAAGGTCGTACCTAGTGCACAAGGCTCCCGCTTTACGCAGGTCTGGGAGAGGTGAATGTCGGCTAGCCTTACCCCCATTTATGGAGAGGCTGCTCCCAAGTCTCGAACCCGAGACCTACCGCTCATGGCGAAGGCACTGCCATGCACCAAGTGGACTATTTGTTAAATGTCTTCATCTCATAGATGTAAGATGAAAGGTTAGATTGATTTGATGTAGTTTGAATATTGTTAAAATGTAACGTAGAAGATATCAGTGAAGAGCAACTTCAGTAAAGTTCTGAATGACGGTATATGCTCCTTGTCTGCAGAGTTATAATCTGTACCCGTCTTGTGTCACGGTGCCATGCGAATGATGTTCATGCAGAGGTTTCAGTAACTACTTCGGCTCAGTAGGGCTAAGTGACGTTTTCGGTTGGTAGCGATGGCCGTAAGACGAGATACAGAGCAGGGCCTACGAGTGGCACCAACGATAAGAACAGAAGCCAAGAACCATCGTCGAACCTGCGAAAAGAAATGGAAGCGTTTGAATATTTTGCAGCAAATGAACTCTCCCTAGAGGGATTCAGAGCTTGAACTTAAGAGAAATGTACACATCAACAAAACAGTCACCATTTCCGGGCAGTCATATCGCTGTAGACCCAAAACGGAGCAAATGCAGATAGCAGGGTGAAATCAAGGCTCGTCGCGTGGATCTATATATACAAGGTTCCAGTGTCGTACGCTTCAGTACAGATTTCATGCTGTGGGATTGTATCATAGCCGTTTGTTTCGAACGCGAGGGACTACAGAAATGGTTGTGAAGTATATGCGTTGATGGTTTGAGTAACTTACAAATTTACTCTCATTGAAGTACTGGTAATATTCCTTCCAGTCAGCCCCAGCTGCTAGACCCGCAGAGACGATTAAACCTAGTCCTGCAGCAAGTGATATCTGACGCGTAATGGAGTTACATTTTACAAAACATATCGAAAAATCAATGTTACTACGACTATGTTTCAACTATTTACGCGAAAATATTCAGATTGTCACTTCAATGATCGTCATTTATCGATGAGTAAATACAAGTTTACAACATAAAAGGAGGGAGAAACACAGGAAATATCAAATTGTAAGATCGGTTGAATGTTTCCGTCTGATGCTAAACGGTATCTTCCAGAAAGTTGAGTGTGAACAGGAAGTGAAAAGTTTCTTTCCCAAGCAGTTAATTTGGATCCAAGAAAGTTGAGAGGCCTTCTTGTGAGCTCACTTTCATCGACAGGAGGTGGCGGTGGTCTCCACAGTACAAAATAGGGAAGAAGAGCGTACGGCCCGCCAAAGCATGAAAGTATCAAGAAAGGCCAGACAGGAACTTTGCTTCTTGAGCTGCACATTATAGGATAACAAACAATAACAACAAAGTCTTTTCCCATTAAGTGGTATCGGCTATATAAATCCTAGAACGTTATTGCGCTCGGTACTATGTCACATCTTCCGTTATATCCAAGTACTCTAAGTCTTTTCTTATAGTCTATTCTCAAGTCTTCCTAGGTCTTCTTTTACCTCTTCGACCTTGAACTTCTATCCCGTAATCGCATATTTTAACTGGAGCGTCAGTAGGCCTTCGTTTCACATGTCCACATCACCGTAACCCATTTTCTCTCATCTTTCCTTTAATTTCGGCTACTCCTATTTTACCTCGGATATCCTCATTCATAATCTTATCATTTCTCGTGTGCCCACACATCCAACGAAGCATTCTCATCTCCGCTACACCCATTTTATGTACGTGTTGATGTTTCACCATCTAACATTCCGTGCCATAAAGCATTGCCGACCTATAAAATTTTCCCTTGAGCTTCAGTAGCATACGATAGTCACACACAACACGCTGGATGCACGCTTTCACTTCATTCATCCAACTTGTATTCTATGGTTGAGGTCTCCATCTAATTCTCCGTTCTTTTGCAAGATAGATCCTAAATAGCGAAAGCAGTCACTCTTTGGTACTTCCTGGTCTCCAATCCTCATCCCTAACTCATTTGAGCCTCTGGTTGAACTAAACATGCACTCCATATACTCCGTCTTTGACCGACTTAGCTGAAGACCTTTGGATTCCAACATTTCTCTCCAAAGGTTAAACTTCACATTTACTCATTCCTGAATTTCATCTATCAACACTATATCGTCTCTGCGAAAAGCATATACCAAAGAATATCATCTTGAATTTGTCCCGTTAACTCATCCATTACCAATGCAAAAAGGTAAGGACTTAAAGATAAGCCTTGATGTAACCCTACAGTTATGGAGAAACTTTTGGTTTGTTCCTCATGGGTTCTTACGACAATCCTTGCTCTATCATACATATCCTCTATGGCTTTGATATATGCTACTCGAAAAAAGCTTTCCCAGCAGACTCTGACTTGGTCTTCGAATGGTAAGTTTAAGCCCGTTCCCAGCTTTTGCCTCACTCTCAGGTTGGCCCTTCTACTTGGCTAATTAGTATTGCACTCATGCAATGGTTTTAAGAAGAGACGTGAACTCTTAGGTAGCTCAAGCCAAGAGGCATCATTCGTTGTGTTACATCAAAAGCTTTTTAAGGAGAAAGTTATTTGACTCACTGATAACTATCCACTATAATCCTTCCGAGTAAATAAATAGAATCGCAAACCAAAAGAAAAAAATGGGGGGGGGGGACAAGAAACACTCAAGATGATGGAAGAAACCCATTATGTACCAAATGGACACAAGCACTTCATTCATTCTAAAAGCGTCATCTCCCTTCAAATTCAAGAATTTCTTCAAGAAATACATGTCCCTTGACTGAAAGAACCAAGTTAAAAGACCGTACGTTAAGAATGTGAAATGTAGGATAATCCAAGAGCCTAGTTTGCAGACATTGCAAAGATCAATTGATTGAACTATCATTTTGAACTATCATACATTTCAGGATGGCCATTTAACCAAGAAATCCTCAAATAACATCATAGCTAGGGATATATTCCTTCAATTCGAAAGCAACATCCTTTAGCAGTTTCACTTGTTGCTATTGATAGTGTCTTTCGACAGAAGTAACCATTTCAGTACGAAACAATGAAATTAAACCTTCCAGATGCAGTTTAGTGAACCCAAACACAAACACAAATGTAAAAGAATAACAGCATGATTGCAATCAAATGTCCTTGCTTCTAGGCTCTAGCAAACACCGCAACTACTTCAACAAACCAAATTGAATCCTGCCTAATTAATTTCGGTCCTGTTTACAAATGCTTTTAGAATAGCTAAAAACACTTTCAGATACCAAAAATGCTTCATGACAATTAAACATGCTTATGGGTTAGAAAGAAAAGCACTTTGAAAGTAGCACTTCAACTACTTTTCCAGCAAGCACTTTCAATTTTTTTTCTTCTAAAAGTTCAAAGAAGCACTTCAAAACAGGCTATGGAGATCTCCAGTGGAGTCCCTATATGGGGACAATCACCGTATAAAATGAGTATAAAACAAATATAGAGACAAAATGAATCTCCAATGGATCGGAAAGTGAGTCCCTAAAGTATAGGGACTTGCCAGATACTTGGTGTATGTACCCCCATATAGAGACTCTATAGGGACTCAAATGATGGACCTAATAGGACAATTTAAGTGGAAAAGTAAGTGTGGATCCCAGTCACATGACCTTATTTTTTTTCAACCGTTTAAAATAGAAGGTCTAGATTGATTTCTTGCTTTTTAAATTTTATTACCATTGAAAGATCAACGGTTCCAATTAAATAACTGTTTCAATTTAGGTTACTTTCTCATGTTGGTTTTCAATTTTGTTTTTTCTCTTTTCATATTGCTTCTGTTAAAAGATTAATAGTTTCAATTTGAGTTACTCTCTCATATTGTTCTCTCATCATTCCTATAAATACCAAATTATCCAACCAAAACTCACTACAACTTCATCTCTTATTCTCAGTTCACTCATAATCAATTCACTCAATCTAGTTACATTTTTGTG